TTAATAACTGGGAGAGTTTGGAATAAGAACAACATTCTCGGCAGGATGTTCATTTTAACCACTGCTATCCTTCCTAAAAAGGAAAGTTTCATCCTCCCCCAGATTTCCAAGTCTTTCTTTATCTTCTTCCATGTAGGTTCGTAGTTGTCCCTATATAAATTTAGATTTTTAGCCGTGATCCACACTCCCAAATATTTCACTTTCCTAGCCACCATAATTTCTACCTTTCTTTCTAATTCTATCGTTTCTTCCTTAGTTAGGTTTTTGACCAACATTTTAGTTTTGCTCTTATTTACTCTAAATCCTGCCACAGCTCCAAATTCCTCAATTTTTTGTAGGGCTTCTTCTACACTATCCTTTGGTTCTTCTAGGGTCAACACAATGTCATCTGCGTAGGCTTTGATTTTAAATTCCCTCTTTCCTACCTTAATCCCCTTCACTTTCGTTGCTTCCCTCAGTCTCTTATTAAGTATTTCCAAGACTGTTATAAATAATAGGGGGGACAGGGGGCAGCCTTGTCTAGTCCCTTTATAAATATTAAAATATTCTGTTGTAGTATTATTTATGACCAACTTAGCTTTCTGTTCTTTGTATATTGCTTCTATGCCTCTTCTAAATTTTTCCCCTATTCCCATCATTTCCAGACTTTTCTTTAGGAAGTTCCACGAGATGTTGTCAAATGCCTTTTCGGCGTCTATAAAAACCAATGCCGCCTGTCTGTCTATATTCATATCCAAATATTCGATGATATCTATCAAGTTCCTTACATTATCCCGTAGTTGTCTCCCTGGAAGGAAGCCTGTTTGATCTTTATGTATTTTATTGATGAGAACCTTTTTTAACCTTTCCGCCATTATGTCTGCAAATATCTTATAGTCATTGTTTAGCAGTGAAATTGGTCTATAGTTCTTTACATCCAAATTATCCACATCTTTTTTAAGAATCAATATAATATTGGCTTCCTTCCAGGTTTTAGGGATCCTTCCTTCTATCAATATATTATTCATCACCTCTCCCAGCACTGGTGATATTTGGTTTATCAATGTTTTATAAAATTTAGCCGGGAGACCATCCGGTCCTGGCGCCTTCCCGGCTTTCATCTTTCCTATAGCCTTCTTTATCTCTTCCTGAGTAATTTTCTGATCTAGAACCTCTTTTTCTTCTTTTGCAATTTGTTTAAGATGGTGTTTTTGCAAATATTGATCTATTTCTTTTTCTGTTTCCTTTCCTCTATTATACAGATCCTTATAATATTTTTGAAATATCCTTTTTATTTCCTTTGGTTCTTCCACAATCCTTCCTCCTTCTCTTATTTTACTAATCGTATTTTGTTTCTTCCTTTCTCTTAGCTGCCACGCTAGATATTTCCCTATCTTATTTGCGGATTCGAAGTTCTTCTGATTCATCAACTTGATTTTCCATTCTATCTCTTGGTTAATTATTGTAGAGAATTTGGCTTGTAGAATTTTTAAATTCTGTTTTATATTCTCTTCTCTAGGGTTATCGATTAATTTTCTTTCATTTTCCATAATCTGTGTTATAATCTGCTCTTTCTTTTTCTCTTTCTCTTTTCTCAATTGACTGTTTTTCTGAATCAGGAATCCCCTCATAACCGCCTTTCCAGCGTCCCACACCGTCTCTATGGTGGTTTCTCCATTTAAGTTCCACTTAAAGTACTCTTCAATTGTTTCTATAGCCTTATTTACAATCTTTTGGTCATTGAAAAGGAATTCATTCATTCTCCATCTGCCTGTTTTATCATCTCTACCTTTTAACTCAATCGAAACCGCATTATGATCTGAAATTGTTCGTGGCCAAATTTCAGACTTAGTTAAATTCTGTATCATTTCCCTCGAAACCCAGATGCTATCTATTCTCCCCCAACTCTGGTTCGGATTTGAGAAGAAGGTGAATTGTTTCACAGTGGGATTTTTATGTCTCCATGCATCCGTCAGTCCCAAATTATTGACCATATCAAAGAAAGATCGGGGCAATTTGCCCTCTTTCTTATCCTGTCTTTTTGTTAACTTATCTAACTCTGGCATCACCACTCCATTAAAATCCCCCATCAGTATCATTTTTTGATCCATCCATTCCATCAATGTCGTTTCTAGTTCAGAAAAAAAGGCTGATTTTTTGTCATTTGGTGCGTATATTCCTACCACAATTATTCTTTCTCCGTGAAAAACCATCTGTACTACCACCACTCTCCCATGTTCATCTTTATACAATAATTGCGGCTCATACTTTTCTTTTATGTATACTACAACCCCTCTTTTCTTAACCTTATCAGAGGTCACAAAGTCCAATCCCAACCTTTTATTGCTTAATACCCTCTTATGTTTACCTGTTACATGCGTCTCTTGTAAACAGATTAAATCCCAATTCTTTTTCAGTAATACATGCGCAATCTGATTCCTCTTATTTTTATTGTTCAAACCATTCACATTCCAACTTATCGTTTTTAAAACCATCTATTACTGTTATTCTATCTAATTTGTCTGAACTAAGTAGTAACTACTGTTCCTTGTCTTCCCTTCTTCTTCCCTTTCTCCTATTAAACTCTCTTCTCTCTCTTCTTCTTCTTCGCTCCCTTCACCTTCCTCGTCTCTTTGGTGTTCCTCCCTTTCCTCCTCTCCATCTATCTTTCCCAGCTCCTTCTCGTATCTCCTCACAAATTTCTGGAGTTCTATACTGGTGCATAACTTAAACCTTTTTGCTTTGAAATAGAATGAAATACCCTCCGGAAACTCCCATCTGTACAAAATCCCAAATTTCTTTAATTGATTTGTTAGTTTTTTATATGGCTCTCTCCTTCGAAGAAATCTCGAAGGAATTTCTTTAAAAATAATAATTGGGTTTCCTTCAATGTATAACCTTTTGATATGATTTTGTTTCAAAATTTCATTTCTTATTTCCATCGTGTTGAACATGGCAATGACGTCTCCTGGTAATTTTTTCTTTTTAACTTTATCCACTCTTGACCTTATTCGAAAAATGTTTGCTAAATACGGATTTATTTCCTCTTCTTTTTTATCTAACCAGATTGCCAACTCTTTTATCACTCTAGATCTAATATCCTCATTTAAAATCTCTGGTATACCTCTCAGTTTCAAATTAGATTGATTTTGCCGCATCTGTGTCATAGCCATGTTGTCCAACAACTCTTCCTGCACCTTTTCTATCTCTTTAACTTCTGCTCTAATCTTATCCAGCTCCTTCTTACTATTTTTCGTATCTTTTTGCACCCTCTTCACTGAATCCTCCAGAACCTTGGTTTTTACCGATAGGTCTTTGACCTTTCCTGTCAATTCCCCCACCACCCCTTCCAGCTTCTTATCCAAAGTCTCTTGTACTTCTAGTAATTTTCTCTCTATGTATTGTTCATTGTTTTTAAATTCTTTCCTTATTTCAGCCATCAGACTGCTATAGTCTTTAATCTCTTTCATTTCCTTGCCCTCCTCTTGTCTCGACGGTCTCCTTTCCGCTGGCGTTGCCGCCCCCTTTTTTACCCCATTCGTCATTTTGTAAACTTGGTATGCCTCGACAAGAGCAAGAACAGGGGTAAAAATTAGCGACGGCAGCGTCTTACCAAGAGTGAGGCACCAATTCACACGTTAACTCTAGTAGGTTGATAAGCTACTGGGGTTGACGCTGGAGTGAAGTGACAGGTTGTAGGCGTCTCAATATACCCAGGCTTTGCAGGCCTTGCCTTCTTAGGGATTGATATGATGGAGTCTGAAGCCAGCAAAAATTTTCCAAATAGGAATGTGAAGGTCCTCCGTGAAATGATCTTTATGCAAGTAGTTGGTTGCAAACTTCCCCTATGTAGTCTATAGCGCGTGTCCCTTTAAGTCCCAGGTGCATGCAATAACGTGGCAAATCCTACTTAATAAGACAGAATGGCGGATAACAGAAGCCAAGCCAAGTCCCCGGAATGGTTTCCTCCCCTATTTATTCAAACCCATAGAAGCGACCTTCATATTCTTTGCTCTCACGTCGTCGACGTTAAAGACTGGGGGGGGGACACAGAGTTCTACCCACTGTTTCACTCTTTTGCCATCCAAACGCTACTTGACGAAGTGCTGGTGGTCAAAAGAGCCGTTCTCACAAAAAGCCGTTCTCACAAAGCCCTTCGTTTATAACAGCAACCGGATGAGGCAGAAAGACCTCCTTTCCCACCTCTCTAGTCCGCCAAAGAGTCTCCCTTTAACAAAGATTCACTGTTTTCTTTATCTCCGACTTTATCCCCGACTCTTTGTACTTTATAGCTCCTATTTTATACTTTGTTACCGAGGATATTCCTCCCTTCACCTAGCGGTTACTTTCTTACTCTGCTTTCTATCTAGCAGCTTTTCGCTATACTCTCTTCTCATTCTTACCGCCAGTGGTGAATTCCTCCTTCTTTTGCCATGAATTACTTCTCCGCTGGGTTCTTCTGCTGAAATTCCTTTTATTTCAAGTCACTTGTTTTCAAGTATTTTCTCCTCTCCCTCTGCTTTCTCTGCAGAGTTTTAAAACTGCTTCCCAGCTTTTCCGCTGTTGTCGGAGGTCCGCCGCTTTCCCTCGGAGCCTGAGGCTTCACAACATGGAGTCTGGTGCTTCCCCTCACGCTGCGGCTCCAGCCCTGTTAAACGCCGGCAACACGGGCGAGCACAAGCAGCGTCGCTGGGTGCTTTATCCCCCAGGATAATCCTCCTGTGGTTTTGGGGTTCACGCAGCCTTCGTGAACCCCCGTTAGACTCCGTGCTGTTCGAGGCTCCCCCCGAGGAGTTACCTCGCGCTCCTTTCCGTGGCCGCGGCGTCCCGGAAGTCCGGTAAGTACAGTAATTTAATTAACTGAAATTGCAAGTGCTCGTATTCATGACTATGTGTTTTCGAGAATTTTTTTACAACTGGAAAAATATTCCAGTTTTTCCTGATATTCATAACTGAAAAGCAGATACATCTAAAACAGTAACTAAGAATTATGTGGGATCCATTATTTTTTCATATCTTACCTGTATTTCTGCTTCTTTTATTTTGGACTCCAGTATCAACTTGGTCGCCTGCTGATCTTTGCTTAGGTTCTGTAGTCTTTCGTAGGTAACTTTGTGTTCAGCAGACAATCTGGCTAACCCAGTATCACACCTATTCAGGAACAACAGGGATTATTTGGAGTTGTCATAGGCACTTTTTCGCTTGCCTCCCAGTAGCTTATTCCAAAAATACTCAGCTTACCTGTCACACTATCACAGACTAGAACGTCATTTAATTGTTGGTAATTTTATTACTCTTTAAAAAAAGAAGAAGTTTGAATTCAGACACACTTCTGGCACATGGAGGTTTTCAAACTCGCACTCTGAACCTATGCCAACTTATTCATAAGAAAGGCAGAAGGTTTGGCAGTAGATTCAGCACAGATTTTAAAAAGAAATTCTGCACATAATACATTTACAGAATCTGCTGCTATAGAATGTGGCGATCAAAGAGAAGTTCATGGAGTTGGTGATGGCAAGAAGCTGCCTTCTGCTGAGGCAGACCATTGGTCCATAATAATAATAATAATTTATTATTTATACCCCACCCATCTGGTTGAGTTTCCCCAGCCACTCTGGGCGGCTTCCAATCAAGAGTTAAAAACAATACAGCATTAAATATTAAAAACTTCCCTAAACAGGGCTGCCTTCAGATGTCTTTTAAAAAGAAGATAGCTGCTTATTTCTTTCACATCTGAAGGGAGGGCGTTCCACAGGACGGGCACCACTATCGAGAAGGCCCTCTGTCTGGTTCCCTGTAACCTCACTTCTCGCAATGAGGGAAACGTCAGAAGGCCCTTGGCACTGGATCTCAGTGTCCAGGCTGAACAATGGGGGTGGAGATGCTCCTTCAGGTATACAGGACCGAGGCCGTTTAGGGCTTTAAAGGTCAGCACCAACACTTTGAATTGTGCTCGGAAACATACTGGGAGCCAATGCAGATCTCTCAGGACCGGTGTTATGCGGTCCCAGCAGCCACTCCCAGTCACCAGTCTAGCTGCCGCATTCTGAATTAATTGCAGTTTCCGGATCACCTTCAAAGGTAGCCCCACGTAGAGCGCATTGCAGTAGTCCAAGCGGGAGATAACCAGAGCATGCACCACTCTGGCGAGGCAGTCCGCAGGCAGATAGGGTCTCAGCCTGCGTACCAGGTGGAGCTGGTAGACAGCTGCCCTGGACACAGAATTGACCTGCACCTCCATGGACAGCTGCGAGCCCAAAATGACTCCCAGGCTGCGTACCTGGTCCTTCAGGGGTACAGTTACCCCATCTAGTTTGGTGTTATCTACAGTGACTGGCAGCAGCTCTCCAGGATTTCAGGCTGGAGTTTTCCCTCAGCCCCACCTGGAGATGGAACCTGGGACCTTCTGCATGCAAAAGTGATGCTCTGCCACTGAAGCCAGCCCCAAAGGTGTCAGAGCTGATTCAGTGTTGATCCTCTCTGTGGAGGTTCCATCGTGCAATGTCCACATAGAGCCAAACTATTTTGAAAACGGGTTCTCGTGTGAATACCCTAGAGCCCAAGTCTCCACTTCCTTTTGATCCTGCAACCTCTCCACATGTGTAATCACCTCCTCATTCGCTGACCTCCCTGCCTGGCCTGTTTCTGTTCATAATACCAACGGCTGTTCTCTTCTGGCGCAGCTATGTCACAGCTGGCAGCCACTGGCTTAGTTACGCTCACGTCTGAGAGAGGTGCTGGACAAAATTGTATCTGGTAACTGAGTTATACGACAAACATGGGGAATGGATTTCCATGTGCATGATTAACAGTTGTTGAATATAGAAACTGCTAATAGACCTAGGTCCTGTGTTTTATATAAAATTTTGGCAGAGTTGGAACATCTGTGGGTCTTCAAATGTTGTTGGACACACACATACACACACACCAGCTACAGCTTAGTTAGCCCAAGTCATCACTACTAAAATGAGCTTCCATTCTTCAAATAGAAAACCTCCCTGGAATAGCTCAGTCGGTAGAACACGAGACAATCTCAGGGCCACGGGTGCGAGCCAGGCATGCCGAGCTGGGCCCAACATTGGTGGGGGGGGGAGTCATCATGCATGCATGATGTCACACACATGATGCCCCCCCATTGGGCCATGCCTGCCAGGACACTCTGGCAATCGCAGCAGGGGCACATGGTGCAAAAATCACCCTCCAAACCTCCCACCCCCACCTGCCATGCGGGGGCAGCGGGGGAGGGCGGCCCCCTCAGTATGGGGAGGGTCAGCACCCTGCCTCAAAATATTGAGGGGGCTGTAGCCCCTTGCACTTGCTATACCCAGTGCCCCTGGTTCAAGCCCTGCATTGGGGCGGAAGATTCCTGCGTTGCAGGAGGTTGGACTAGATGACCCTCGTGGTCCCTTCCAATGCTACAATTCTATTATTTTGTGGCCCTTCTGTATTATTCTGTAGCTGGAAATCACAATGGCTATATAGAACTTCTGTCTCAAGAAACCATGTGCCATTGTGGAAAGTAAATTTGAAATTTACAGACTGTTCTCTTTTGAAAGAAAATTACATTACTGTATTACACCAGTACAGATAGCAAAAATGTATAAAACCGGGTCAAACATATGTTGGAAATGTAAAGAAAAATAAGACTTTTTATCATATGTGGTGGGAATGTAGAGAAGTTTAAAAAAATTGGGAAATTATATACAATGAATTGAAAAAAATGTTTAAAATGACATTTGTAAAAAAAACCAGAAGCATTTTTGTGAGGGATTGTAGGACAAGACCTGCCAAGAAAAACAAAGAATTTATTTATGTATGCGACAACAGTGGCAAGAGTCTTGATAGCACAAGGATGGAAGAATGAGGAAATCCCAACGAAAAAACAGTGGCAAGAAAAAATGATGAGTTATGCAGAGTTGGCTAAACTGACATACAAACTGCGGTCCAAGGACAACTGTGACTTTAAGGAAGAATGGGAGCTTTTTTATAAATTATCTAAAAAGACAACAAAATGAACTGGACTCCTTGGCAGGTTTTGAATAAACACACACAAATTTATTGGTTGATAACATGATAGATAGACAAGGCAAGGATAGGTATAATTTTATAACATGCAGAGAATAATATGTGCAAAGAAATCAGAGAAAGGAGTTGAGGGAAGTCCCTGGTGGTTGGGGGAGGGAGGGATGGAAGGGGGAAAATAATGTATGTGATTACATGGTTTGATAATTTGTTAAGTTGAAATTGCTTAATAAAAATATTTTTAAAAAAGAAAGAAAGAAACAATGTGCCATGGAATAGCAGTTTCTGTGGATTAACAATGAGTTGAAGCCCCCTCTCCATCCCGCTTGCTGGGCTAAATGGACTAAATGGACCAGGGCAGATTACAACAATGTAAACATTAGAACCAGTTAGAACAATTTACAATCAAAAGAATAGGGTGGGTCCTAAAGCCATACCTCTCTGGGGTCAAAGGCCAGGGTCAAGACATGGGCATAGCCAGGACTTTTGTTGGGGGGACAGACAGTGGCATTTTGGGGGGATCCATGTCAGGAGGTGGTGTGAGACACACCTCTGTGAAAAGGGAATTCCACAGCATTTGGGTACCACAGAGAAGGCCCTCTCCCAGCCCCACACCCTGAACCTCTGAGGGCAAGAGAACTGAAAGAAGACCCCTCTCTGCTGATGTTTCTTCCATGGAGATCATGGTGGTGGACCTGGTTCCCTCATGTCTCATTTTGTCCTTAGCAAAAGCCCTGTGAGGGAGGTTGGGCTGAGAGACAGGATGTGGCCCAAGTTCACTCAGTGAGCTTCGTCGGCTGAGTGGGGAATTCAGAGTAAACCAAAAAGAGGAGTTCCCTCCATAACACACACAAAATATACAAGCCACAAACCAATCAATGACAAAAATGATAAATAGGTGATAAAGCTCATATACAACAGTGGACTCAAGCCTCCAGCATAATGTGATATAATGTAATACAGATATGGATAACAACCAATAAACAACTGAAGACCCACGTATCAATGAAAATGCAACATGATACAAAATTTAAGTTTTATTGAAGTTGAACAACCAATATGAAGGCTATCTAAAACAGAAATAACAGTCCATGAAAACTGCATGTAACATAAATAATAGTCCAATATAAGTTATATGAATTCCACATGTGTGAAGACAGGTGGGATGTCTGATGCATCAAATAAAGCTGATGTACAAATTCCACGCGGCAGCAAATTTAATAGGGTGAAAATTCCAGGCTATGTTTTCATTTTGGTGCTTCCTCAGAAACTACTGTGATGGATGGCAGCCAACCTTGACTCTTACCAAGAGATTCCTAGCTACACAACAATACAAAAATCCAAAGGTAACATAAAATGGTGAGCTTCATGGCAGAGTGTGGATTTGAACCCTGGAATCCCATGTTCCAGTCCAACACTGACCATCACATGGAACTCAAAGACGTCTCCTATCTAGGCACTGAGCAGACCCAGGCCTGCTTAGCTTCAATAAGTACCTGCATTGTGTATCCTCAGATTATTCTGTTGCATATAAATATATTATATTTGTGTGTGTGTTTCAAGAGAGGGGGAAACAGCTTGCCAGAGACTTCGCTTTCCATGATGTATAGAGATACTTCTTTCTGTCCTACAGCAAAGTTTCCCCAGCCTGGTGCTCTCCAGATGTTCTGGGCTACAAATCCCATCAGCCTCAGCCAACAAGGTTATATGATACTGGGACTGATGGGAGCTGTGATCCAAAACTTTTGGAGGACATTAGGTCAAGGAAGGCTTCTGTTCAAGAAACATCCAAATCTGTCTAGTAAAAAGTGAATTTGGGGTACACAGTCCCTCTTTTGAACTGGCTTTAGCTGCCTGCACAAAAGCCACCAGCTCTTCCCAACTCTCAGGAAAAAGTGGTTTCTGAAAGGCTTTCTCTCCCTGCTACCCAGAAATAAACCCCATGTATGCTCCAGATAAGCATGCTGCTATAGGGCAGTATACAAATGCTAGATAGCTAGATAATTGTCTGGCTTTAGCAATCAATACCTTTCTTACACACACTCTTTTGCCATAAAACCTATTATAATCGTCTCCTCTGCGTGGCATTTGGGCCACAACATTCTCCGTACATCTTAGGCCAACAGCCC